CAGACGCATCAGTGTTGCGAAGAACTCTTTGCGCTCGCTGAAAAGCCGGCGGCTGCACTCCGAAGAGCGCAGCGAAGACGCTCTCACTAGCGCGCTTGCCAACTCGCCGCAGGACTGCTCGCAAGACAGCTCGGCGACGACTTTGCAGTCGGAGGGAGAGGACGCGGAGTACTGCGGCGAACTGTACGCAGAGGTTCCTTGGGGCAAGGGCATGATGCTTCCGAAGTGTGAGCTCGCAGAGCAGTGGCGCCAGCACGCGGAGAGCGTGACTGATTTATCGTTCGATGAACGGCTGCACGAAGAGTTTTTGGCGTACCTCGCGCACATCGAGCTGCGTCCGGAGGACGACGCGCAGCGCGCGGAGATTCTGGCGACTTTCGCGCAGATCACATCGAACCTGTGGCCTCACTGCAAGTTGATGCCGTTCGGTTCGCTGATGCTGGGCGTTTCGCTGTGGTCGGGCGACGTAGACGTTTGCGTAACCGACGACACCATGGGCAGCAAGCAGCGCGTGAAGCGGTGCTACCAGCTGAGCAGGGTGATCGACAGCGCGGACTGCTTTGTCAAGCGCGCGCTCGTCCTGCGCCGCGCCGCCATTCCAATTATCAAGTGCTACTACGGGAACTACTACTCGAAGAACGTCGGTCCGAAGCCTAACACAATCCAGATCGACGTTTCGTTCAACGAGCCGAGCTGTGAGCCGAGCACGAAACTGGTGTTGCATTACTTAAAGCACCTGCCAATTCTGCGACCGATCATTCTGCTCATGAAGATTCTGCTGCTGCACCACAACCTGTCGGAGACTTACAGCGGCGGCGTCGGCGGCTTCCTGCTCTACAACATGGTGATTCACCACTTCCAGGAAGAGATGAAGCGCGTGCACGGCCGCAAGTACCAGTCAAAGCCGCTGTTCAAGCTGGACAACGTGACATTCCGCGAGATCCCGCTGAGCGGGCGCGAGTGCCGCAACATTGGAGTCCAGTTCGAACGCTTTCTGCAGCGCTATTTGCAGTTCAGCTACTACACGTACTCCATCGACATCGCGAACGGCGGCTCGCTGAACAAATTCGACGTCGACGACTTCGACTACTCCAAGAAGCTGTTGCTGTCGGTCAAGTCGCCGCTGGACTCGTCGCTCGAGATTGGGCGCAAGTCGCTGTGCTTCCACGAATTGCTTCGCCACCTAGAGCACGTGCACAAAGTGCTGACGGCGCTGCGCGAGCGTGAAGCGCAGTTGGCGAAAGCGGGCGACCTGAAGCGGCTGCGACACTTACGCAGCCACTCGATTTTAAGCCGCCTCAACTGCTTTCGGCAGTTCGGCTTGGCGCGGCCCTCGCTCGAGAGCGTAGACGCGTACAAGCAGTACGACGCGTACAATCGGCACGCGTTTCCAAAGACCTCGAAAGCACTCCTGGATACCACCGCGCTGCGTCTGAGAGCGTTTTTGCATCGCAACTGGTGAGCTCTTCGGCAGCAGCAGCAGGCGGTTTCAACGAAGTCCCACTTCGACGATGCGCTCCAGCTGCGCGAAGCGCGCGTCTACAGTCACAGCTGCGCAATCAGCTGCTGGTCGACGAGCGACACGGTGCGACTGCGTTTATCGCGCGTGACGCGGAAAAGCGCGTGCAGCAGGTGCCTGCACAGCCCAGCCGCCTCGCGCCTGGTTCGCTTCTCAAACAAGCTGTGGCACTCGGAACAGAAATACGGCAGGCTCAGTTCAAGCGTCCGGTGGGTGAACGCTTCGCAGAGCGCGACGCGGTTGCAGAGCGCGTTGGCGACGGCGAGTTCGTGCGGCTGCCTTTTCGCCGCGGCACGCACCTACTTGATGAGTTTTGCCAGCTTCGCCGGCTCGACCGCGAGCGAGGCGAAATGGAACTTTTTCAGCAAGTCGCTGCCCTGAACGCGCGTTGAACTTACTCGGCGGTGCGCACCTCCCAGTCGAACAAAACCGTCGGCAAAAGCCGGTCCATATTTAGGCGATTAACCAATTAAATTTTCGAAGCATTAGTTTTCTTCGCACTGCAGCGCTAGAACGATCGGTGAGAGAAAAATGAACTTGAACTCGCCGCTGCACCAAACTTGCGAACGTCTCTGCATCTTCGCGCAAACTGCGAAGGCGCGATTGCTTCACCGCAAGCCGGAGCCGGAGCGCAAGCGGCTGGTCGTGCTCGGCGGCGGCTGGGGCAGCGTCGCGCTGCTGAAGCAGTTGAACCCGCGCAAGTACGCGGTAAGCGTGGTGAGTCCACGCTCCTGCTTCGTAAACACGCCGTTGCTGACTTCGGCGCTTTCCAACAAGCTCAGTCTGCGCGTCGCGATGGAACCGATCGCGAACTTTCTGCACTTGCGTTCACGCTTCCGCTACAACTTCATTAAGGCGACGGCGCTGGACATCAGCAACGAGCAAAAGACCGTGATCATTTCGAAGAACCGCGGAGCTTCCGAGCCGCTGCCGTACGACTACCTGGTCGTCGCCGTTGGCACCGAGCCTTCGCACTTCAACACGCCTGGCTGCAAAGAGCATGCGACGTTTTTCTCCGAGCCAGAAGATGTGCAGCGCATCCGGCAAAAGATTCTGGCAAACTTCGCAGCTGCGCAGGACTCGAATTTGACGGCTAAACAGCGCTCGAAGCTGCTGGACGTGGTCGTCGTCGGCGCTGGCGCGACTGGCGTCGAAGTCGCCGCTTCGCTGTCGGACTTCGTGCGCCGCGACGTCGCGCAGATATACCCGCGCGAATCGCGCGACGCGAAGATTTCGATTGTGGACATTGCGCCCGGTCCAGTCGCCGTCGAACGCGAGGAAGTGCGCGCCAAGGTGCGCTCTCAGCTGCAAAAGCTCGGCATCCGCGAGTACTACCGCCACGCTCCAACCGAAGTGTCACCGGACTCGTTGGTGCTGAAGGACCCGAACGGCGAAAAAGTGGAGCTCGGCTCGCGAAACGTAATTTGGGGCATCAACCTCACGCCAGTGCCGTTTACGAACGCAGTGATCAAGGCGATCGACGCCCAGAAAGGCAACCGAAAGATCGCGGTGACGCCGCAGCTGAGCGTGGTCGGTGGCAAAGACGTTTTCGCGCTCGGCGACTGCGCGATTATCAAGCCGCCGCGGCTCGTGGAAAGTGCCGAAAAGCTTGCGAGCGCCGCGAAGCGCGTGCACTCCTCGCTGAGCAAAAGCCTGATCAGCTTCGCGCGGCCGAACCTCGTCAAGCGGCACGCGTTCGTGCAGTTGCTCAGCGCGAACGCCAAGACCGAGCTTGCGACCGACGCGCACAGAGCGTTGAGCGACGAAGAGTTCAAGCAAGTGCTTTCCAGGCTCGACGCATGCTACTCGCCGCCGCCGCCGACGGCGCAGGTCGCGAACCGCGCGGGCTTCTACCTGGGCGGCCTGTTGAACCAGCTCGCGCAGGGCCGCGCGCTAAGCGAGTGCCCTCCGTTTGTGTTCAAAGACGCGGGCAACTTGACTTACATTGGCAACGACGAAGCGATCATGAACTTCGCCGTCTGCCCCCGGCTGTTGAACGTGCTGCACCGCTCGCGCATGCTGCGCAAGTGCGTGGACAAGCCGAACTCCTATTTCACCGTCTTCGGCGGCAAAGGCACCGGTTTCGCGCGCGAAGCGATGTACTTCATGAAGCAACACACCTCCTTCGCGAAAATCCACACGCTCGCCGACTGCACCGCTCGACTCTTCGGCGACTTGAACCTGCACGAGCCCGTCAGCTACCGCGAGGCGCGCTCCCTGTAACTTTTTAATTTTAGATTGCCAGCCTCTGAAAACGCGATGTGTTGCCGACTCGGCGCACAATAAAATTTATTTTTGGAGGAGTGACAGAAATCTCTCTCAAAAACACGCCATAATTGAGAAGAAAGCACACCGCCGAGCACAGCTCCGCTCATCAGGCAGCGTAACACAGACGAAGCAAATGAATTTTTTTGACATTCCCAAAACTTTATGGTGAATAAAGCTGAAAAGAACTTTGCCGTTCTAAAGGGAATGCTCTAAAGATCGCTAATGTGTCAGGCGCTTGATTTCGCAGTTTTGCGGACCTGAAACGCTTGGAACAAGGTTTTTTTTCGCGCGGACACTCTAACGTTTACGCATAATTTTTTTGAAAGCTACGCTAGCAAAATTGCTTGACAGTTGTGCTCTGCAAGAGTTTGGTCTGCTTCCACGGCTGGCCCGGTGAGCTACTACTAGTTTGCGAAAGCAAGTTACTTTTTACCAGAACGTTTCCCGAGAACTTTGGGCCGTTTGAGCTTGCGCGCTTCGTCGCTGCGTTCGTCACCACGTTCGCGACCGCGTTCGCGACCGCGTTCGCCACTGCGTTCGCCATTGCGTTCGCTACCGCGTTCGCCCTGTCGCGGGCTCGATTCCGCGTACGCGAGTC